CCTTTAAACTCTTGTAGATCCGGCTAGGACCGACAAGTGGTATCAAAGCGGTGTTTTATCAGTGTTTTATTATCTTTTCTTTCTTAAGATAATTTATTTACGGTACAATGGACCATCTTTTGGCCATCCAAGTTCATTGAGTTTTTGAAGACAAACCATGTAAGAAGGAGGTTCAACACCATTGGGGTTCCCATGTTTTACGGCCAAAGTTTTCAAAACCGACAAAATCTCCTCATCTATGTCAGATTGGCTAACTTTTCTCTTGTTGGTTCTCACTTGAGTACGAGCTGAAGATATAGGAGTTGAGAAAGTGGGTTGGGAATTGGAGATCTCCACTTTCTCGTTGTTGGAAACAAAGAAAGGCTCGGGGTCATTTGATAGCGGTCTAAAGCTTCTGATGCACGTGGAAACACCGCCTTCAAACAGTTGCATACACAACTTGGGAAATGGAAGATTAGTTGTCCTTAAGGATTCAACATGTTTATTTGACTATGTTAAAAATATAATTATAAGTAACTAATCAAGTTTTAAATAGAAGGAAAAAAGGTATAACAAGAAAGTGACTTGAATCTCGAGTTCCCATTGCTCGGGTGTCAAATTAAATGAGTTAGTTGAAGGATCATACACGTTCCCATTTTGTTTTTAAATTTCAATCACGCCCCATATTTTCCCTTTAATATAGTGGTTACGCATTTGTTTCTATCCACATGAAAGTTTCTGATCATCTAAAAGAGATTCGCAACTTTCATGTGGATAGAAAGCAAATGCATAACCACTGTGACTATTATTTGTTTCCAAATGATTAACAAAACCACAAAATCGCTAACCTCTGTTTTATCCATTATCGCTAACCTCTGTTTTTAACCATTATCGTTATACTAGGTTTTAAATACATAATTGTATCATATAGATTTGTTCAAAAAATAAATGCTCCAAAAACTATTTACATAGATCGAGAGTCCATAAATCAACAGAAATACAGATCGACAGAAGCTGATAGAGAGAAACAATACAAAAATCGACCTACTTGTGAAGAAACAAAATCGATGAAGTTCTTGAGAAAGGAGCGACTATGGAATTTGAGGGAGGAGCGACTTTTACCAGAGTTTGAGGAAGGAGCCGCTAGGGTTTCTTTTTACATACTGTTAGTAGTTGGGACAGGGGTATGTGAGGAATATTAATAGCTGAATACAAAGACATGTTTCGTGGCTAACCGATTCAGCCATGGCTTACCGAACAGCTAGATATGGTTGTGCGAATAAGCCACATAG